CACACACACACACACACACACACACCAAATTCCCCTATCACTCTGTGTGAACAATACAATCAAGCCAGGCAGCGTAGAGCACATCGTCAAAACCCCTGACACCAAAGGATCCAGCCTCTCCTCTCTCTTCTCCTCTTTGCATGAGTCAAATGTGGCAAAGAGAAAAGGCGTTATTTGACTCTGTGGATCAAGAGAGAGGATATTAAAGAATTCAGCAAGTGTCTGGGAGGCGTGTGCTGTGATGCATTTCACATGTCCAGCTGCTTGGAGGAGAAAGGAAGAGATGTAGTTGGAGTTAAAAGCAGAAGCTATTGTGGCTCCAGGGACCAAGAGAAAGACAGCCACCTACAAAGACAAGGAGGAGGACTCCACCCAAGGTTTTTGGGGAGCACAGAGTCATTAATATTTTAAAGACGGGGGCTGCAAAATAAATGTACGGAGGACGAAAGCTGCATCTACACTCAAGAGAGAGAATAAAGCACTGAATTATTGACATGTCCTCTTGTTTTCTGGCACAAAGCTTTGTGTAAAACATCAGATAAAGAGGACAATATCAAAACAAACCCTTATAGTCAGCGTGTGTGTGGTGTGTGTGTGGTGTGTGTGTGTGTGTGTGTGTGCGTGTGTGTGTGTGTGTGTGTGTGTGTGTGTGTGTACACGTTAGTTTTGCAACTGAAGCGGTTTTTTTGTGGAGGACAGATTTAAGGCCCAGATGGTTTGGCATGGAGTGTGTTTGCTGTAGGCCAACTGCTCTCACACACACATACAGAAGAAAAAAAACACACACACACACAGATGGGAGAGGGTGGGGGAGACAATCTGGTGAGAGAAAAATAGGAAACAAAACCTAGAAAGATTGATAGAGAGATGTGGTGGTTAGATGAAGGGAATCTATCTATTGATCTGGCTTTCTACAGCTATGATTACAGGACACACACACACACACACACACACACACACACACACACACACACACACACACACACACACACACACACACACACACACACACACACACACACACACACACACACACACACACACACACACACACACACACACACACACACACACACACACACACACACACACACAATAATGGACAGATTATGTTGTATCTATACCCAGCTGTAGTTATCTGATCCTTATTCAAAAAGGTAGACAGACATTTTATTCACCTGAATAAATGTCTACACTAAAAACTGAAATGTACTTATTACACCTAACGTACAAAAAAGAAAAACCTATATATCTTTTAGTCTTTATCTCAGTAATATTCACTGGGTTGACAATAGCAGGTAATAATAGGTACATCCTCTGAGGAGCAGGACTGAGCTCAGCATATGTTATACATCTTGTCTGAAAGTAGAAATGTTGATAAATAAAGCAAAGTGTCTCACCTTGCATTGTTCCTACAGATTTTAAAATGTGACTGTTTTTAGTTGTACAAAAATGGCCAAAAGCTATCTCACGATGAATAAAACTAACCGTGTCCTTGTGTTTGTGCTGAGCTAAGCCTTTGACTCATCTCAAAACTCACTATACTGTAAACCCAATTCCTTTCTTTCTGAATCTCTAATCTTAAATGCAAGTCTAAAAGCATCATATAAAAAAACTCTGAAAAGGAACTCTTGAAGACCCCGTGTTGAAGACCCGTGATTTACTGCGATGTCGTCTGCTAAAAGGTCACCTCATCTACTGGGATTCATCCTCTGAGGACTAAAGAAACTCACAGCACAAAACAAAGAAAATCAAGACGTTCATTAGCAAAATCCTGTCTGTCGTAGAGAAGGTCAATCCTCTTGGGAGCATGAGTGTGCTCAGAGAATTTCACAGCATATTACTGTTTAGATTTCGAATGTTCTGCATTTGTGTTTCCCAATGATACTCTTCTGAGATCGCACAGCCGATGTGACACAACAACACATTTCATCACAACTCAAGAGGGAACAAAAGCACACTTCCTCACGTCAGCTACATCTCAAGTTGATGTCCACTGAGTGGGCTTTCTGGGCCCTGAAACATCCTGCACATATAACGAAATGCATCAACCTCATTATACATTAGCTGAACATGTAGATACTTTTGAGACACGAGCTGCTGCTCTATGGGAAATCAGTGTGAGAAAACTGTCTCTTTTCTTTGCTATCATGATGTTTTTAACTCATTCTGTGAATGTGCTGTCACGTCTGAATGAACCCTTAAAGGGGACCTATCATGCAAAATGCACTTTTGTACGTCTTTTCTACATGAATATGTGTCCCCGGTGTTCCAGGGAACTCACCAAGTGTCAGAAAACACAACCCTCTCTATTTTCCTCCATACCCAAATCTCTAAAAAAGGGGCTGCAACGGATCTGATCAAAACTGATCCAGATTTGAACACTGTCCTGACGTCAGGACTGTGGCGCTACGGCTATTGGGCCAACTCCACCAATCAGGAGGAGACAGCCACGGCCATTGCCGTTCGAAAGCGCTGGAGACGCTGTAGTACATATGCC